GTTTAAAGCATCATGTCAAACTCCAAGAAGCCAGCATCGTTCCATCTATATCAGGCCAGTCATCTGGCTTGGTGAATATTATTCTATCAACTGAAGAGAAGCATATTTGTATTTGTAGAGAACATAAATTTGTTTAATCGACGATTTAGAAATATTTGGGGTCTTTCCTCGTTATCAACTGCTGTTGGGTCTATTTTCTGAAGCACCCCCATATCCTTCAGAGAAGGGTTATCTAGATCTGACAATTATCTAATATGCTTGATTACCGATGCAGATTTCAGAAGGCATAAACGTCTGGTTTCCGTTCAATCTTGTTTGTCTAGGTCCATGTGTTGTCAAATGTAACCTTCTGAAGTGAAACCTTGTTTTGTATTTGTTTTGATTCACAAAATCAAGGCGTTCCTTGGTTGATCAAATCCGAAGTTTTATTGTGTTTTCAGATTTGTCTATTGATGTTACTTTTCGATATTCTAACATTCCCATTGGTGCAAACCGTGAATTGAACTCTTCGGAAACATCGTATTTTGAGTCACTCACATCTTTGAATTCTTGGTGAGCATATTTACAGGCCTTCACCCTGCGATCTTTTGCTTATCTAAAAGTCAATAAAATTAATGGGTTATGGATGTTAATTCTAGTGTTTGATTCTGCAGCTGGTTGGTTCATTAGAAGTTGGGGTCTATATCTATTCAGTGTTAGTGCTATGCAAGCAGGATTTTTTTGCCCGCAGTTTTACTGTCTTGTCTTGCGTGCATTCATACCGGATAGAAGTCCTTCAATAGGAGTCGCGTGCTTATTTTGGGGCCCATCCCGTTTGTGTAAGCTTAAAAAAATAAAATAATAAACTGGTGTAATTTTTTTTAGAATTATATAGGATGATTTCCAATAACGATTCACATTCATTTGTCCCAAGAAGTGGCGTAAAATTGACTGGTATTCGAGCAACTAGAAATGAACAATCAAGTTTGAAATCTACAAAACAAGTAGAGTTTGTGGGAAATAAATTGTAAAACTTGTTTGCATGCTTTTAACCGAAACTTACTTGAAAATCCCAATATGAGGTTGAATTACTTGCCTTTTGATTGCTTGCTTTTCACACTTTCTTGTACTCGCTTCTTGGTAAAAAACACGATCATAAAGGAAGAAGTTTAGGGGCTGTTCTCTTCGTGTTTCAGTTTTGTGTTTTGAGTTTTGAATTCATTTTGTGTTTTCTGTTTTGAGTGTCTGTTTTGGAATTGTTGAAAACGTGTTCTCTTTGTCATTCTAAAAAATTATTTCTCAAAATAGAAAATTTGAAAACGCGTTTA